CTTCACTGGATCTGCCTATTTTTACAGCAAAAATTCACTCCGCTATAGACTCTAAAGACGCGAAGTTATCAAAACTGCACTCATTTTTACAGTTTCGTCGGTGAGCTCATAACACTGATTAGATGAATTTTAGGCACTTTAACACACATAGTATTTCTAGGAGCAACAGTTACAAAAATGCTATCGTCTGCTATCTCTACAAATCCTGGAATATAGGCCTCTTAACCGTATACCATTATAGCTTCCAGTGCTTACATACGGGAAGAACGACGCTCTTAAAATTTCCGGCCTCGGCGGAAATAGCTAGCTCAGGAGCCTCTTTGACTAACTGAGCTACGTAAGCGACCTGCAGTTGTAGGCGCGCCGCTGGATCGGACAGATTGACTGAAAGTTACCGAAGGAGCACTTCGCTCCACTGGACTGCTTTTCTCAACTTCTCAGAAATCCTACAACCGTATTAGAAGCATTAACTGGCTGATCACTTTTTTTTCGCAAAAAAGTCGCTTTTATAAAAAACGTGAATGAAAGGGAATCGAACCAAGTATCCTCACTATCTTCAAATTGTGACGTGTTATCCACTACACCACCAGCTCCTCTCCACACGTAGTAGTTGGAGTATTTGAATTCGAACGCGTGTGCCACCTATCCTAATACATCTCATAGAATTCATCTGCCATCAGAAGCAGTACATATTTTTTATCACTTTTTTTGCCGGCTTTTCTTTGGTATCCGTGAAAAGTGTGGCGAACGATCATAAAAACATGGTGTGCGAAAAAAAAAAAAAAATAATTGATAGAGGATTTCAGTTTTGTCTAAAAATACCTGAGTGCTTGCATAGTAACCCATTGTCTCACAGGCAGGAGCCTGCTGCTGTTGCAAATAGCGCGGTGTTTTTGGGGCACGATACTTTGGCTGTGCTAATTTCAATAACAACTGCTTACCGCCAACACGATATTTATTCATTTCAAGCTGAAAATTCAAAAAAAAGCATTAAATTGGTGCTTGCTATTTGCAAAATATTATCATTAAGGTTGTTTCCAATACTTAATCAGTCCTCACACACACAAAAAAAAAACAGAGGAAATTGTGCTTTTTGATCCCAATAATATTTCATTTTTCACTATCTCTTTTTTTTCCCTATCCTTTATGATTGTTGTTTCCCCCCTCCCCTCTTTCCCATCCCTCATACAT